CTACTTAGGAGGTTGAGGCAGGAGGCTCGATCTCTCTCTTTTTTTTTTTTTTTTGCAGTTTTTGGCCAGGGCTGGGTTTGAACCCTCCACCTCCGGCATATGGGGCCCAGCACCCTACTCCTTTGAGCCAAAGGTGCCGCCCCCAGGAGGATCTCTTAAACTCAGGAATTTTATGTTGGTGTGAGGTAGGCTGACACCACTGCACTCCAGGCTGGTCAATGGAGTCACTCTGTTTAAAAAACAAACAAAAAAGTGTTAAAATTTGGACAACTATGAATTTATAATTCAAATTATAAGAAATTTAATTGTCTTAATACATCTTTATGGCCTTTACTGGACCAAATTATCATAGCATTGTTTAATATAAAACATGGAAATTGCAAGTCAGAGCTCTCTACAAACTAGATACCTTTAGAAATTGACCATGTTTCTATCATCCAAAACCATCTATCATCCTATGAAAAAGGTCTGTTAATGAAGTCTTATGAAGATAATCCTTCAGCCTTATAAGGCATTATTTATTTTTTATTTCAATAAATTTTCTTTCTTCAATTTGTGATATTTAGGTTTGCCATTTTTTTGAAGTTTTTCAGACTTGTGTTGAGGAGGAAGGAGGTAAATGTAAATGAAGCTGCATGAATCTTCTGTGGTCTGGGAATGCTCTTTAGTGCTATGTGGCTAGTTCTGTTCTAGAAAACCTCTTTAGTATATACTATGTTGGTAGTTCTACTCTTTTGACCCTGTATGCTATCAAAGATGGTATATCATTTTTTGTTATGATAGCATAAAAACATTTGGAGGCTGGGGTAAAAATTGCTTTTTTTCATTGGAATAGGTTGGCATAAAGGGAGACTTTTCATAGTAGTTTCTTCTGTTTTTACTGAGGGTAAGTTGGAATTGAAACTCTGTGAAAACTTTTCCACATCTGAATAACTTTGAGTTTGTTGTTAGATACTTGGTGGATTCATTCATGGTTTTCTTGCTGTCTTTTGTTGTTTGCAACTGGATATGGCTTTGACGTAGCCCAGTGGTCCCCAAACTTTGCTGCACAATTAGAGTCACCTGAGGAGACTTAAAAATCCACTTATCCTGGCTGCCAGTTCCAGGTGTTCTGACTTCTTCAGAGTGGGGGATAATCTGTATAGAAGGCGTTTTAAAGCTTCTCAGGTGATTTTGATGTGCATTAAAGTCTGGGAACTGCTGACCCGGCCTAATTTTTCTCCTCTGTTCAGTGGAGGGTCAGATCTGCTGCTGTGTGGTGTGAGAAATACCCTTCTGGTAGCATCCTTTGCTTCTCATGATAAGGAGGGTAGAGTAGAAGAGGCGATATTCCCTCTTAGTGCTTTTTGTCCTTTAATCATCTTCTGGACAAGTTTTGTTTTTCCATCTTTTAGGTAAATAATTTATTTGGTATTAAATCATTAGGGAAAATCAAATGTGTTTGATATTTCTGAGCTTTAAATGATTTTGAGCTGGTGGTGGTTGGTGAATCAGAGATAGCATTCTTGAAATGCATTTCTTTCCTTCATAATTCTGGATTCACAAAAGGTGGAACTTTCCCCTTTATTTGCTCCTTTTTCTTATTGTTCTTAGTTTCATTGTAAAGCAGGGAATGGTTGTTGTCTGATCCAGTTTTCTTTTTATACTTGGTAGTTTATTTTGGATAACAGCTAATTTGAAGTACATCTTGAAATTGTATATTGTTTAACAAAAGGGTTTTCTAAAGTTCTTGTTCTTTGTTTCTTTGGATCTTTGTCTTAGACTTGACTTTCACATTTCACAGGTGGAAGGACTTAGAGGTTTTTCAGATGGGCTACTAGACTGTTACTGAAACTAATTAAGGTCTTTGTGTTTGGTATAAGTCACCTTCTTGGGCTAAGAGAGTTTACACATTTAGAAGACCTTTTTTTTGGGGGGTTTTTTTTTTTTTTGAGACAGTATCGTCTCGCCCTTGGTAGAGTACTGGAGCATCACAGCTCACAGCAACCTCAAACTCTTGGGCTTAAGTGATACTCTTGCCTCAGCCTCCCAAGTATCTGGGACTACAGCGAGTACACAGCACCTCACTATTTTTTTGTTGTAGTTGTCTTTGTTGTTTAGCTGGCCTGGGCTGAGTTCGAACCTGGTGTATGTGGCCAGTGCCCTACCCACTGAGCTACGGGTACCACCCTAAAAGAGCTTTTCATTGCACCCTATTTTGATTTTTCATTAAAAGCTGGGCCTGCTTTCTTCAGTGGCTGCTTTGTTTGTCCAGAAAAAATGTAGCAGGCAGCTCAGTAAGGTAAGCAGCTCTAGCCCATTCTGTCTGTCACCCCAAAGCATTGAATTTGCACGTCAGAATCAGGACGAGGACAAAATAGGGATTATTTGACTTGGACTTCTCCAGTCACCTTTACCTGTAGTCACCTTTACCTGTCCTCAGGTACTTACACAAATTCAAATAGGTAGGAGTTTTATTAACAGACAAAAGATGACTTAGCAATTTCTCTTAATAAAAAAGTGGCTAAGTGGTGCCTTTACAAGGCTGATGCATTAATCCCCACTCTTGGTAAGTAAAACGTTTTCTTCTCAGTATGTTTTTACTTTTGCAGTGGGTTTATACAACTTGCATGCTTTTTTTTTTTTGAGACAGAGTTTATGTCGCCCTTGGTAGAGTACTGTGGCGTCACAGCACATAGCAACCTCAAACTCTTGGGCTCAAGCGATTCTCTTGCCTCAGCCTCCCAAGTAGCTGGAACTACAGGTGCCTGCCACAACACCAGGCTATTTTGTTGTTGTTGTTGTAATTGTCATTGTTGTTTGGCAGGCCCAAGCTGGGTTCTGCCAACTCCCATGTATATGGCTGGTGCCCTAGCCACTGAGCTACAAGCACGGATGGGTGGTTTTTTTTTTTTTTTTTGCAGACAGAGTCTCATTCTGTTGCCCTGAGTTGAGTGCTGTGGTGTCATAGCTCATAGCAGCCTTAAACTCTTAGGCTCAAGTGATTCCTTTGCCTCAGCTTTATGAGTAGCTGTGACAACAGCACCTGGCACAATGCCCAGCTATTTTTAGCGACAAGGTCTTTCTCTTGTACATGCTGGTCTTGAGCTCGTGAACTCAAGCAGCCTACCAGTCTCGGACTCTCAGAGTACTAGGATTACAGGCATAAGCCTCAGTGCGCTGCACAACTTCCATGCTTTTAAGAGGAATTAAAAGTTTGTTTGGCAGCGCCATAGCTCAGTGGAAAGGGTGCTGGCCACATACACCAAGGCTGGTGGGTTTGAACCTGGCCTGGGCCAGCTAAAACAACAATGACAAATGCAACAACAACAACAAAGTGAACTGGGCATCATGGCAGGTGCTTGTAGTCCCAGCTACTTGGGAGGCTGAGGCAAGAGAATTGCTTAAGCCTAAAAGATTTTTTATTTTATTTTTATTTTTTATTTTTTTTGCAGTTTTTGGCCGGGGCTGGGTTTGAACCCACCACTTCTGGTATTTGGCACCAGTGCCCTACTCCTTTGAGCCACAGGCGCCGCCCTATTTTGTTTTTTTTAGAGACAGAGTCTCACTTGGTTGCCCTTGGTAGAGTGCAACCTCCAGCTCTTGGGCTTAGGCAGTGCTCTTGCCTCAGCCTCCCGAGTAGCTGGGACTATAAGCCCCTGCCATAAGGCCCGGCTATTTTCTTTATTGCAGTTTGGTTAGGGCCGGGTTCGAACCTGCCACCCTTGGTGTATGAGGCTGGCACCCTACTCACTGAGCCACAGGTGCCACCTTATTTTGTTTTTTGAGACAGAATCTGAATTGTGTCTCCCTCAGTAGAGTGCCATGGCGTTACAGCTCATAGCAACCTCAAACTCTTGGGCTTAAGTGAATCTCTTGCCTCAGCCTCTCAAGTAGCTGGGACTACAAGCACCAGCCACAATGCCCAGCTATTTTTTGTTGTTGTTGTAGTTGATAATTGTTGTTTGGCAGGCCCAGGCCGGGTTTGAACGTGCCAGCCCCAGTGTATGTGGCTGGCACCTTAGCAGCTGAGCTATAGGCACCGAGTCTAAGCCCAAGAGTTTGAGGTTGCTGCACTCTACCCAAGGTGATAGCTTGAGAATGTCACCAAAAAAAAAAAAAAAAGAAAAGAAAAGAAAAAGGTTTGTTGATGGGAGAATTGAAAAATTCTGATAGAAATATTGTCACCCATCTCTGGAAATTGCCACATTTCTTGTGGCAATGTTAGAGGGGCTGTGAAGAGAGATTGGCTAAGAAGTTTTATTAGAATTGATACCTAAGCATTTATTTATTTATTCATTTAAGACAGAGTCTTGCTGTGTCACCCTCAGTAGAGGCTATGGCATCACAGCTCACAGCAACCTCAAACTCTTGGGCTCAAGTGATTATCTTGTTTCAGCCTCCCAAGTAGTTGGGGCTACAGGTGCCCACCACAGTGCTTGGCTAGTTTTTTGTTTTAGTTGTCCTTATTGTTTGGGAGGCCTGGACTGGGTTCAAACCCACCAGCCTTGGTTAGGCCTTTGCCCTAACCACTGAGCTATGGGCGCCAAGCCATATAAGCCTTTTCAGCCTTTTCTGGGTCTAATAACCAATTGTACATAAGAAGTAGTTCATTATTTGTGGTTTCCAGAGTTAATTTGACTTATGGTATTTGTAATGATAAAAATGAAGTGTTTGGTTTTTATATGTGTATGAATTTTTATACTGAATGTCTTTAATTCTATATACCTCAAGTTTTTTAAGTAGATGACAGATTATAAATATAGTACATTTTAGGTCTGAATCCATTAAATAACACCTGCCCCAATTTTCTTCTAACTCCACAGAGAATAATTTTCAAAAGATAAAATAAGTTCCACAAGAAAAGAATATACTTCACAGTTAATTCCTCTGGTTTTGCATTCTTGTAACCATGGGGAAAGTAGGAAGGCTTTCCTGCTTCATGAACCCTCTGAAGGTTTCTCTATGTCAGCAGTTATGCCTAATGATTTTTAGCTGTCATTTCTTTCTTATAGTCTGATTTTGCTGCTGTTCCACATCCTCCTGCTTTTTACCTCAGTAAGCCAGATGAAACTCCAAATTCTTGGATGTCTGATTCAGGAACAGGTATAGAACCTAAAAATATTTTTTTATATGTATTTTTATTATTTTTTATTGTTTGGGATTCATTGAGGGTACAAAGAATTATGTTACACTGATCGCATTTGTTAAAGTCCCTCTTATAATTGTCACAGGTATAGAACTTTAAGAGTTACTTTTTAAAAACAACTTGTCTACATTTTTTTCATTGTAGAATGATAATCGGATACAATATAGTGTCATGGTTTTGTAAATCTTTTATGTGTTTTGGTAGCTGTGACTTTAATTTGTTACAAGTTCTGTAAAGATAGAATGAAGTACTTTTACAATTAGAAGGATCATTTACAAATAGCTGCAAACATCATCTTAGCCTTTTTCAGGTGCTCCAAAATGAATTAACAAATTCAAACCCTGTTAGCCACTTTTTACATGCCATGGTGAGCTTATCCTTGTCTTAATGCCTTAATGTCCTTTTTTCCCTATATCCCACATTCAGTTCATCAGGATGAATCAGCTTTGCCTTACAAAAATTTCCAGAATCCAACTACTTCTCATAGCTGCTTCCATGGCTGCCACCTTAATAGCCTAATAGTGCCCTCCCCAAATCTATCACTTGGGTGGCTGCCAAATTCCTAAATGTCCCGCCCTTACATCCTTTCAGTCTATTCTCAACACAGTAGCCAAAATGATCCTTCTAAAAGAGAAGTCAAATTATGTGACAACTCTGCTTAGAAGTCTACAGTGGCTGCCTCTGTCCCTCAGAGTAACAGCTAGAGTCCTTACAGAGGCCTGTCAGCCCCAGCTGATGCAGTCCTGATACCTCTTTGACCTCACTGTTTACTACAGGTGCTCCTGACTTACGATGGCATTTGTCTTGATAAATATGGGACATTGAAAATATCAAGTTGAAAAAGCATTTACTACATCATTCTCCTAAACATCATGGCTAGTGTAGCCTTCCTTGAATGTGCTCAGATCACTTACATTAGCCTACAGTTGGGCAAAATCATCTAACATAAAGCCTATTTATGTGTTGAATATTTTATGTGATTTGTTGAATACCATACTATAAGTAAAAAACAGAATGTATGGGTACTTGAAGTACATTTTCTACTGAATGCTTATTGTGTTTGTACCATCATAAGGTCAAAAAATTGTGAATTGAATCATCGTAGCTGGGGTCTGTCTGTATTCTCCCTTTCTGTGCTAGAACAGGGAGGCTATTCAGATGTGCCAGATGGATTCTCATCTTAGGACTTTTCCAGTAGTTGCTTTTTCTACTTGGAATATTCCCTCCCCCCTTCTTATGGGGGGAACTTCTTCATATATGGCTAAAATGGCTGACTCTCTCTTAATACTCTCAGCAACCCATCACCCTTTTGAAATTAGTGTCTGCACCCCCCAAACCACAAGACCCCCTTAATCCTGTTGTAAAATTTTTATCATCAGAGTTCTTCCCACCTTCTCACATACTGTCCATGGGGCATAATTTACTTATTATTTATGTCTTACTCTTCCTGCCTCCCTAGCCATGCCATATGGGTGCTCAACAAATATGGATTATTGAATTCTTCACTTTGATTCTTTTCTTTCTTTCTTTCTTTTTTTTTTTTTTTTTTT